TTATTGTTGCTAGTCCATCCATCGGATAATTGTTTATGCCCGCAAATGCACCACACGGGACTACATCGGAGTATTCCGCATGCGGAGCAGAAGCCATATCGAGAATAACAATCGTAAAAGCGTTTATAAGCAACCATGTAATAATTATCTTTATACTTGGTAAATCCTTTTATCCATCTATTGCGATCCTCAAGCCATTTGGAGTATCTTCTGAACTGATTAACGTCGTTGTTATTGTACTTGTATGTTAGAAGTGAGTATATTCTAGCAAACTCACTAACAAGTGTTTGTGTACATTCTTCGCTATTCCCAAGGCATAACAGCATCATTGGTGTGTATTTGTGAGTAGCGTAGTAAACGTTGTCAACTTGAGTTGGCATTATGTTGGTGATTTGCGAGCAAGGAATCCATTCAAGTCTTAAGTCTTCATTTTCACTTTCCAAGGAGGATTGAACCAAGTTGTCGATTGCTGGATTATTAACCCCTGGGACTAATGACATCGTTTGAATAAGAAAGATTTCAAGGAGAGAGCATTCTCAACGCACTAATACCCGATCTCCGTGTGTAACGCTTAACTATACCATATTAAATAGTAGGTTATAATTTACCTCTGAATGCTAAACTACTATATCTCCCTTACCAATTTAGTAACTCAAAACGTTACCAAATCTGGTAGGGGAGGTACTGACTGCACCGAAAATGATTGGTACTGTAAATATAGACTATTTTGATCTAATAGTGCGATGATATTATGATATTTGGCTAACTAATATACAACATTGCAAAGACTAAAAACTTTATGACATTTGACCCCGTTTATTTTAATAATAATGTCGTAGAATCCTCCAAGAATGTTTCGATACTTGATATTAGTTTCAAATGCCAAATTCAAACATAATTCATATTTCGATGGTTGAAAAACATTTGCCTCTACACTAACGATGATAAAGCATCAAGCAAGTTATCGTGTGAATTAGATTGTCATAATAACCCTGAAAATAGTATATTTTTAATCATAAGTCGTTTATGAAAATGTTTCAGTATTTTAACTATAGAACTGCATAAAGTAAATCGCAATAGCACATGAACCTAATAATGTAATATTAACATTATTCAAGGATCATTTGTCACCATAACATCTATTGGCCTTCTATGAAATCTTTTTTAATAAACTTGAACATAATACCGTTATCGTGAAATTGATTCTCCGATGGTTATACTCCGTATTTGTCAGAGGGAGTTGCTAGGAAAAAAAGATCAAATAACTCTCCGATCAGTAAGCAGTATTATTCCCAATATTAAGAGAAAATAATAGCGAACGAAAAGCTCGGATTGTAATAAGCTCATTTCTTTTTGCTGAAACAAATGGTTAGTTTTGATATGTGAGAACTATGGAATTGAGTATTACGATACATTATGGTTAACATATATATCATTTTGATAAATACGTTGCGTTCATAGATAATCCAATTCCAATCTGACACGTGGTAAGTAAAAGTTGTACGTAGACAAGCAAGAGAATTGTTGCTAAAATTGTAGTACATCGAGTTAGGAGAAGACAAAAGGCATTTCTGTTTAAGCAAGGAGTGTCAACAGTATTCCAGGAAGTTGTACGGCTTAACGCAGTATGTGCTGTACTGTGCTGTTTGGGAGCTAAAGTTGGAATAAAAATGTACAATCATTGTAGGAAAAATTGCCGATTACTTTTATGGGAAAACTCTAACGATAATCTTTCCAATTTTGGTACAAGCAATCGCTGAATTATTATCAGCAGCAACATTCGACAAGCGATTTTACAAGCGGATTTTTACTTTTTTATTTGGAGTAAAGAGTAGTTGACTCGAGACTTTTAACATGAAAATTGCTTGACGGGTCGTTCATTCATCGTTTCTTTTCGACCATCATTTACAAGTATTCTTTATTCACATCGTTATTTTTTATTAGTTCAAAAATAATTATGGTTTTGTCATGGCAACAAAATACTGCGTTTCTTTGTGGTGACACGGTTATATATAAAAATGATTGTATAGAATTTCAGAAAACTTACCAGAAGGTTTAGTGCAAAATATTGATTTGGAAGGTGCTTAATGAAAATATATCATTGACATATCGTGGATCAAGTGATAAAGGCGAAAGTTACTAAGCGATAAATAACTAGTGTCGAGTCTATAATTATTAATTAACGTCCAACAATCGCTGCTTAATATAGCTGTGTACCTCGTGTTATAATACGTCAATTGTTAACGCCATCCATTATAAGGCCTAGACTTTATGACTTGTCTACAAGTAATAACAATAATCTGCCAAAGTTAATTTCAGCTTCCTTCCCTGAACAAATTAATTATAAACTTTGTAACGTCACATTTATTGTTAATATTTGAATGTCGAACGCATAAACATAAAAATCCCTCTTAAAACCTGTTAAGAATTCTAAATAAATAATATATTTCCATTTAATAATACATAATTATTATCGTCCGCCTAGTCCATAATCTCATTCCAGCAGTGTCCCCGCGCAAGAGAAATCGAGCAATCACTTCCGAGAAAATATTTGTACTTATTATTATGCTCCTTCTTGCAATCCGTAAAATACCCATTATAATCCATGCACGTATTTGGATTCTCTGGACACCGATTTGAATGAATATTGAACTTGTTGCTGCAATTCACTCCTCCATGGTTTGCAATACAGCCCGTTTTGCCGTCGCTCCGCTTGTAGCGGGAATGATCGTGATGGTGGTAAAGGCTCCTGTATCCAAAGTCGTACACAAAAACTTTGCCGATTTGATGTGTTGGATGGGCCTTGTCTGCGAGGTAGATGATGCCATCTTTGATAATGTTTCCGTGGACGCCATGAATGTGATCTGTTTGCTTCCGACCAAGCACTACGTAATCGCCATCAACGTCATTGATTTCAAATTCACCAAGTTCGTTAGCTTCAATCATGGATCCTTTATGATTGATTAACGCACCAGCAACCGGGAAGTAGATGCGGAGCTCCATCGAAGCCGGGTCATAGAAATGAAAATCCAATTCCTGCAGCCCGGCATTGTTCGTGAAGTAGTGGTCTTCGAACGCGTCAATTTCCTCAAATGGAATCTTGATTTTCTTGTAACCGATCAACTTGACAGTCTCGTTGTGTAGCTTATAGTTCAAGGTGTTGATATAGCGTTCTTCAAAGTGCTCACGCTTTACAATGTTATGAGACGATCGTGGCCGAGCTTGGGCGGTAGTCCAGATCAAGGCCGAGGCAAGATAGAGGATCCAATAAAAAGATAACATGTTGAATAAAGCAGTATCAGAGTCTAGAGTAAAGAGTCGTGTTTAAAGGCTGGCAGTCACAAACGATTAGCACAGTTGAGGTTGTCTGCTCCGGTCTGAGGTTTTTATACTCAATTTGCATTCACTACAGCTAACGTCATGTGCAACAATGGAATCATTTCTCAAACCTTGGCGACTAACTTGTTTATTTGCTGGATCGTCGCTATCCCTCATTTGGGTTTACAATACGGCACAATGAGCAATACTCTTTTATACAACGGAACAATGCACAGCACGCTTTGATACAGTACGGAATTAAACACTCTCCAGCTTACTATTCTAATTTTATTACGTATTATATCTGATAACTTGGCTTTCCAAATAATTTTACCAGAATGGGTTAGTATCGGTTTTGTGTCGCAACTAAGGTGGCCTTGGCTTGATTTTTTTTGTCATAGTTTCTTTCCTTGAACCGCTATGTTGTGTAATGGAAAGCGGCGAAATTTCGATTTGGGCTTCAACGTTAATCCGAACTCCGTTTAACCGAAGGACTAAGTAAAAGCCCGCTAAACCGAAGGTAAGTTCTAAAACATCTATATTAATATTTAAATTTACCCCGATAAACCGAATTCACTAGTTAAACCGAATTTCTTAGCATTTCCCACCTATTACTATTCCCGACCCACTTCGGTTTAATGGGTTCACTATGTAGTAAGCATGATATTCGGGCAATCTTTTATAAATTTGATAATGAGTATATAATTTGTGCAAAGTTATATGTGGGTTAATTTTTAACGTCTTTCGATTTGCATAACCCAATTTTAGAGGAAAGTCGACCCTAGTTAAATTTGCGTGATTTTACTACGCACTTAAGGTATGCTAAATTCAGTATTAATTTCACGGTGATTGCGGAAGTGTAGTAGAATCTGATACCATATTGCACTGATTATAGTACCCTCAAGTATAGTACCCGGGTACAACTATTAAGTATATGCATTGTATTAGTATCAAAGTATACATATTAAAAAAAATTATTGTAAAAGATCAATCGTAGAATTAATGTTGCTATAAATCGCTTATGAAAGATATTCATTGATGTTAAGACTGAACATCTATTAACCATCATACCAAAATCTGCTGTCGTCGCGCGCTTACATTATTGCAGTTAAATTTCCCCCCTGCATCCCATTGACGTCGTACCTTTCGAGTTGTATTTGCATAACAAATATTTTTATTGCCGCGTATAGGCATATAATGCAAGTTTTCTTTTTAGACTAATTCCGATGCGTCACCTGGTACAGTACCTATACCCCCAGTACTAGAACCAGTGCAATACGGTAACTATTCTATTTTCTAACTAGTTAACAAAACACAGTCACTATTGCATCCAAACAGTTACCATATTGAGATATCAAGACAATTATTAAAGTTTTTGAAGAACTTGGTAAAGAAAAAAGCACTTTTAATTTTATGTATCTATGTACAATACATTGTCTATGTCACGTGAACAGAATAATGTTACCTTCTAAACTCTCTACCTTCTAAATTCTCTGCTAAGATTGCTCATTATCAGACTTTCAGAAATCTCAACGTTGGCCCATTTGCTCCTATCAACAGGCTTATTCAAGACACTCGACTCACTCGACTCGCTCGACTCGCTCGTTTCATGTTTCTCCTTTCCGCTTCCATCGCTTTCTCCATCCCGCTCTCTATCTAGTCGCTTCACAACCCAAACAACTTTCCCAACAAAAGTTCTAACGTCCTCGACGACATTCTCTCCCACCACCCCTGTTGCACCTTCAACATGCACACTCGCGCCAATATGTTTGATTATGTGTACTTTGCCTACTTCAGTTTCACAAAATAGTACTCTTCGCTCATCAATCACTCCTTCAAACAACCCGGCGTGGCGGAGGAGTGAGATGATGGCCACACGTTCCTCGGGTGTGCTTACAGGTGTGATTAATGTAATGGTGTAATAATTTGAGATTTTGTGAAGAAATGGAAGAACTGATTCGATAAATGCATAGTTTGGTTTTCGAGGATCGCGAGAGGGATTCCAGAGTATAGTCTGACAAAAGGAAAGGAAGGCAATGTCAACGCCAATAACGTCAAAATTACGCTGGTCTAAAATATCCATTTAGCATCCATGCTTCTTCAAAAAATACTCACATCTTTCATCGAAATCGACATATGTCTTTTCCCACTACCCACGTTTGAAAACCTCGGTATTTGATCTCTTCTCGCTACACCTCTGGTGCCTCGTCTTCTATCATTGTTTCTCTAAGCATAAAACATGTGAAAGTGTAGGTAATGCCGTTTGGATGTTCTGTTCTATCTTGTCGTGAGTGGTATGTTCTTTGAACAATACAATTTCCTGTGTCTTTACCTAAACGTACTTTTGAGATTTCTCTTTTTCTTTCACCCAGCTTTCCTCGCTCCTTTGGCTTCCTTCTATGGCAAATTCGCATATTCAAACTCACCTCGTCTTCGCCCTCGTCTGTCCACGTAGTCTGGCGAAGAATAAATATGGCCAGTGCTCCGATCGCCGCGAGACCTAGAGCGGCAAATGCTACGATCTGATTGCTACGTGCGCGAGGGTTGCTACTTTGTGACATTCCTGTTTGACAATGGAATGAGCAATGATAGAATGTTAATCAGGATTTGTGAAAAGTTAAGCGAGTTGTTATGGGAAATATTAAAAGTTGTAAGGCGAATAAATCGTTGGGCTACGATAGAGTGAGTAACTTCAATATGAATAATAAAGTTTGAGACCGGGCAAATGTCAACGATGAGACCGGGCAATGTCAACGATTGTGAAACCCCAAATTTGTTGATCGACAGTGAAAATATTACAATGGTACGTGTACTCTGACAGTTCATTATTATCGGAACTCGATGCGACCGCCTCCTCGCAGATGATACCACGTTGTCAAATATTACAGAACAGTTTTACCTCCTATTGTACGTTATATTTTCAGTCAAAAGAAAACATTATTGCATTGATCGAATTCAAAAGTTTGATAATATTCGTGAAGCTATCAGAATTTATTAGAATCGTATACTACCGAGACAATAACACACGCGTGGCAAAAAACAGGTGTTCTACCTAATATTAATACATGACAGTTGACGAAACCGAAAGTCAACAAATACAATCGATTTCCCATCAATTCTCAAGACAACGGAGCCTATTATTGCAACAATAGAAGGAGAAGAATTATCAGAGTCGGAAGACTTTCCAATAGTCAAATCCATTTTTCATAAAACAAGTCAATTCTTTGCTTTATATATTAGTCAAGATTGCAACAGCGAGCTCAATATTGATATTACTTTCTTATCTAATTTAAAAAAGTCGTTACAGCAAACGAGTATTCTTTTATTTTACCATTAATAAAGTTTATAGTAATTGTAATAGTGTTGAATGATAGTGTATTAATTCGGCTTGGGCAAAATTAGCAAAACAAAGGTCGAATAAATTGTCTTTTTCCCAAAAACAAACCAGTTGCTTCATCAAGCCGTTCACCTGCTATGGAGCCATCTACATCACCAATGTCTCTCTTCTGTCTTGTCAACGGTGAATCTACAACAAATGCCTTTCTAGTGATCTCTGCAAGAGGATATGGGAGGAGAATAATAGTCAAACCTTCAACAATATAGACTTATTCTCTGGGCTGTCTCCATACCAATAGGAGATGGCTTGCCATAACTTAATCTGAAAATCTCAAATCAGAAGACAGACAAAAGTTGCTTCCTACAAATGGAGTTGGTATTCGCCGAGTTAAATAAAGACCATGTGAATGTTATTGTGGAGGCACCTATTACTATGAGCAAAAGTGGTAAATAGATGATGTATCAAAAAACTTATTCCATTCAAGATGCATTCGAGGATTAATTTTTTTGTTTAGTCTCTTCAAGATGACACATTGTTTTAATATCTAGATTTCTGCACGGTGCATGCTATTGCATACAGTGTAACGTTCTGGTTTCTTCCTCGACAATTTTGCCTTTGTACTTAATACAGCCAACCATCAATAATAATAAGGCACAAGATATCAAACTTAAATTACGTAAGAGTTTATTTGCCGACTCCAGTATTTTCTCATGGCCAACTTTATGTTCCTTGCTCTAGGACTACGTCAGGCAAAGCCTTAAGATTCTAACGACAGGCCGATATGCTAAAGTGAGATGTACGCATATCCACGATAGATGTAGACTGTTTTATGTATACCATGAGCATTAGGACGAATATCTCAGAGCAAAATTAAGCAGTTCTATTTAGAATTAGAATCTGACCATTTAACTAAGACCTGACTTTTATATGTTTTATATAATATAGGAGTGATAATTATAGTGTTTAAATGTTTTGTTTTCGTCATTATTATGGTATGTTCAATTTATTGACTACACACACGTATGCAATTAGACCATCAGCGCCGGATTTGAGTTGTGCCATTAGGATAATATCTTGTTCAGGTTTTGTTAGAGTTTGAAAGTCTTATTATTATCGCGATCAGCAAATTCTTCTCTCTCTAGGTAACTTAGTAGTCTTCTAAAATTGCAGAGCTTTCTTGTATAGTGTCGTACCTTTTATGCATGGTTTGTCTGATTTAAAAAAACCCCCATAATTCCGTAGTGAATCAATTTACTATTATACATAATAATAAAATTAAAATATGCTGCATATATTCATCAATAATTTTATGTTGCAGTATCAATATACCCTGCGCCGTTTACAAGACCGCCCATACCGCGACTCAAGTTGTAAGATCTTTCAGTAATAAATTGAGACCATAGAAATACGTTGGAAATGAAATAAGCAGCTCTAAAGAAATACCTTCTTTTTTTTTTTGCAGAGTCACCCATTTCATCGACAAGATATCCACCTGAAAACGAGTTGTGAGCAGACGTAGCAGAACAATAATATATGGCTATAAATGATCACCTTCGCAAGGAGTTCGCTAAGCGTCAATTGAATTTGAGATTCCGCTATTTCTTTGCTTCTTCTCCAGACCATCTTATCGATTTTCTGAGGCATCACCCTTGCACAAAGATGAGAAAGAGAACATTATATTAGGGCCCAGGTAAAACAACGCTATTGAGACAATAAATAGCTTCTCTTTTACAAGTCTGGTGGTGGTACACACGGAAAAATAAGTAAAACCGCCGCGCCTCTCCTCCCCATCGGGTTCTGACAACGCCTCGAGATCGTCAAGGGGCATAGTAACATGGAACTTTGCCGACGTTTCCTTTTAATGATGGTAAAAACTGACCTTAAGTTGCTTTTGCAAAAATTTTCAATTCCTTGCCCAGCAAAGCATGAGCCTGGCGCTGTCTTTGATGTAGGCGCGGATTGCGTTGGACTCGGTATATAACAACGTTTTGAAGTTGTAGTAGAGGTAAAAACCTCACCTTTATGACAAAGATTGGGAGCAACACGTAAACAAGTTGATTATGTCTCGACGAAGACAAAATATAGGCGAAGACCCTAATAACATCTTTAGTATGATATTTCATAAAATAAAGAAATTGAATCGAGGTGTAAAGATTACTTGTGACAATGCAGGCGCGAGAATAAATGCGAATTTGTAAATTATGTTCCACAGCAGTCTCGATAAGCCGCCGACTTGTCAAATAATTAAATAAGATAATCCTGCTGACTAACTTGTCTTGGAATCGGCTTACTTTTTGCTTACCTGAACATTGTAAATCTTTCATCTTTCATCTTTGACAACACAGAACTTTATCCTTATTTTATTATCCTTGTTTTTCTTCCTTTTCTGGTTTCTCCGTGGCTGTTTTTCATAGATAAAACTTTTTATAGTAAAGACAACTGGTTGCTCCACTTTTCTACGAGAGTAGTTGTTGATTCTTCTCTTTCTTTCTTTTTTTTGCTAAAACCTTTTCTGTGTTTCGATTTTGCAAAAGTTGAGTCAGAGACCATAAAGATGCAGTTTACTATATTTATTTACACATAATTGCATGATTGTTTGTTTAACAGGACGGCTATTGAGATGTAATTATCCTCCATTCAGTGCTACCGTCCTGAAAAATACGAGGCGTCTAGACTCGCGTTTTTATTATCGCGTCTTATTCTTTTGCTTACTGAATCGTAAGACTGCTTGTCTGTTTATTAGTCGACCCTTCCAACTTGTCACAATCCTTCAGGCTTTAATATATTTCTCGGTCTTGGAGGATATCGGCCTTATGACTTAGCATGGCTATACCGAAATTTAGTTCTGAGTTTACGTTTAATTTTTTATGGGAGGCATTCATTTCATCGACAGTATGTTCTCCATTTTATTGTTAAAACTGGTGGACATATTGATATAATATAAACACGCCCAGCCTTTTTTCAACAATTCACAGCGTTTTATCTATCTATTCGTGGCGTAACAATGAAGTCTCTTTGGTTAATTATAGCAACAATTATTGACTCTATTTTTAAACTAACTGTCTAATGTCCTCATTGTATGATAAAGATATTATAGCAAGCTTCAACAAATTCCTTGTGGCTATTAACGATCGGCAAATTAAAAGTGAAAAATGCTGTACATCGTTACACATTAATCTAATACTACCGATTGCACTGACAGGAGAGCTTCCCCAACTTACTTGCAAATTGAAAATGAGTAGCGTAATTGAATTACTTTCTGATGTTTCGTTGGATTATGAAAAACTTTACGAAAGCGGAAAATACACCGATATCTCAATT